ACGACGCTCTTCCGATCTCCCCAAAACCCCAAAACCCCATGGTTCAAAGGTAAATAAAGTTTATAAAATTAAGAATACATATCATTAAGAGAATTATTATAAATGTCAAAGTTTAATTAATGCATCTTCCAAGTTCTTTATGATTGCTTTGATTTCATCGGCATACTATTTACTGTATAAAAGTTCGTCAGTAATAGTCAGTTTTAGACTTATTAGTACAGATTGTACTTCAACTTTCTTTAAATGCAGGTCCGCAACTGCTATTCCAATATTACTTTTGTAGTTGAATCTATTTTATTAAATAAGCTTCTAAGCTGCCCACAAAATGGCCAATATAGAAATAGATAAGTATTTTTCTGGAATTTCAATTTCTTCTGTTTGCTACTTTGGCGATATCAAAGATTGACTTAGAAGTCTACTTGAATGAGTCATTTAATGCTTTGGAAGGAATGATTTTAATTTGATTAAAATATCATAAGTCTTTTGAGAATTGATTGAATTGAAGAATTCAACATGCCAAAAAGGACTCCACTTTGATTAGAATATTTTTAAGTTTTCTACTTTAGAATTAGCAAATATGAAATCATTTAAGACCTTTAAATATTTTCCATCTCTAGTTTGCTCAAGATAGCTCATGTTCATGTTGTCTATTTATTCAAGCAAAAGTTTCATAGGGAATAATTCGATAATCTATTCAAGAAACTCAGCACTCTCAAAAGTTAAACTTGATTTAGAAAGCTGAGTTAAAATAGTTATAAAATTTTGATATTTCTTAGGTTTCGCCTTTAAGTCCTCAATTTTGTAGTAATGATCTATCAATGCTTAGTATAAGAAGTTTATTCTTTTTTGAGTATCATTATCTTTAATACAGTTGTCTCGAAGCTCTGTCAGTCTAAGAATATCTAAATACTCTTGCCATCTCTTAAATTAAATTGCTAGTTAATAAACTTCATTCACATCTAAAACTTAATATGTGAGCCTATCAACTATAACTTCAATTTGTAATATATCGTCAGTTACATCCTCTTCTTTCTTGATGTTAATTTTCTCTAATTTTCTTTTTATACCATCTCTTATTTGAAGTACTTGTAAGAAATAGTCTTTGAAAGTTTCATTTTGCATTCTCTATGAATCATTAATTTTTATATCAAGTTTGCTTATGTTTCTTTAATCATCATTTTCCATCATTAGTATTTTCAGGTCATCTTTGTATTTTTATAAACATCCCTCTCCTTTACTTATCCAGCTTATTCTTAATTTTAAGTCTAATATGGTATCAGTATTACAGGTCTGTTCCATTATAAATAAGTATGCTTCTCCAAACAGTTGATTTGCATTCATATATTAGAACGTTGCCTGTATTTTCTAGTCATGTAGTTGTGATCTTTATTGTAAAGTTAGCATTGCTTCAGATGGTTTATTTTCATCAATTTCTTGATTAATTCTTTCTAAGTAATCTTTAGCAAAAGGAGTTTCGAATTTCATAATATCTTAGAGTTATTAGAGCTCCATCAATTTCTCATAAAGGTCTTAATGGAAAATAAAAGATGTGCTTTTGATACATTCTTTGTAAACCTTTTGTTTTAGATCATCAAGATCATCCAAGTTTTGTATTTTTTAAAGATTTCTTACAAGCACTTTGATTGCATCATACTTTGAAACTTCTATAATCTCATAAACATCCTGATTTGAATTTTTTGATTTCTTTATTTTTTACTACTATTCCATTTATTTTTATCTCTATATTAATTCCTCGATAATTTCTTGAATTATAATCATACATTCTTATTGATCCTAATGAATAAGACTTATTTTTTAGGAATTGAGACTCCTTTTTAATGGTGATTTCACGTTATCAATTTGATCTGAGTCTTTAATCATGTCAGATTCCTAGCCTTCATTTAAAACCTTGATATATATAGCCAATTAATCAAATCTATTAACGCACAGAGCTATTGATTACTCAATCATTTCGTTTTTCATTAGCTCAAGCAATGCCACTGGTAAATTAAGTTGCCTAGAGCATCTCATTAATAGATTAAATCCTATTCTTTTCATTTTAGAAACATCTTATTTCCCTTCAACTTAAGCAGGCTTGGAGTTGTTTATCATTTAATATTTATTTTTGCTACTTTTAATTAATTGATTTTGAGTAGCTAAGGCCTCTTATAATAATTTCCTTCCAAAAATTAAATTAAGAACTGACTCATCTACAAATGAATTGCTCTTTCCTTTTATGATACTTTTATCTCCTTCATAATTCATTATATCGGATGAACTAAACTACCAGGTGATGTATCTCTCGATCAAGAATCCAATTTGAGTACCGGTGAGACCTTTTTCTATAAACTCAAAAAATTCAATATCTGCTAGGCTCATTTATTCAGCTTTACTCTCAATCGATTTTATAGTTTCATCTAACTTTTCCCAAGTAATTAGATTTGAGAGGTATTACATTCCGTCTATGAATCTATCAAGTAAACGGCTAAAGCACTCTAATTCTTCATAGAGTGATAAATGGTCCACCATTTAATCATCATGAATGATCTAGATATTCTACTTATGAGCAATAATGAATTTTTTCAGCTATGCTAGCTTTATTTCTGCTTTTTTCATTAAGTCTCGAGATATATTAGGATTACATTTTTATTTTTGAGTTTTAAAGTCATATTCAAACTTGAATATGGGCTCTTACAAAAAATCCTAGATTTAATTATAGAGAAACTTATACATGCAGTTGACTCTGAAATATTCAGGTTTCTCCAGTTACTTGGCATTTTCATGGACAACATATTGGTATTTTTAATTAAGGATAGAAGTTTCATTGTTTGTTTTTAAGTTATTCCAAAATATCTAGTATTGTTCATCTGATTAAATAATTGAATCAAATTCAAATTCTAAGGATGAGTCAGTAATTTCAAGGAATATCTCAAAAGCTCTTTGCTAGATTTCTTGTTCCATTTATTTATAAGAAAATTTGTCACAAGATGCATAATTATTTAAGTATCCCATAAAACTATTAGTTTTTAAAACTTTCAAGGCACTGTCGAGGTCAGTGCAGTCATTTCCAAAACATTTCTGAATGTTTTTGTAGTAATATTCTGCGAAATCATTAGAGACAAATTAATCTTAATCCCCTGAAGTTATTATTTCTAATAAATTCTTAAGTGAATACATGAGACTCTAACCTTGTAGATATATTTACAAATCTCTTTGAATAACTTCTATAATAAGATGACTCTTAATATCTCTCTTATTCCTCTCTAGCTTAAGGATTTACTCGAGATATGAAGATATCACATCATAATCATTGGGTTCAATCATATGAATTATTCCTTGATCTGTTAAAACATCCAAAGATGCTCTTTTCCCAATATTTTCTTTGCTAAAAACATTTAATGCAATAGCACATTCATTTATTTGCTTAATCCCAACTAAATGCTAAGTATTTTTGAGGTTGCCTTCTCTTCTGTAATTTGGCTAAATACTCATCAGAAAATCTGACTAGTACTCTTTGTTAAGATTATCATCATCAATATCTTAGTAAGTTTATCGAACTAGATAGAATTCTTTCTCTCCAATAAATTTAGAGTCAATGATCTTAAGTCTACTATCATTGCTAAATTAATTTTCATTACAAAGGTAAATTGGATCAGCAACGAAAGGCTTCCATCTATAACTCATGTCTTTTTACTCTATGGATTAAAATAAAGATTGGTACTGATCAATTAGCCTTGCCAGGGGAATCTGCTGTATACCTTCTACTTTCCATGAATTAATAATTTATAATTTCGAACAAGCTAAAGAAGTAACCTAAAAATCATCATCTTGATTAAGATTTTGAATATCTTAAAACATTAACTCAATAGTAATTTTGAATCCATTTTCAAATATTAACAGGAGATTATTTCTATGAATATGAATTTTGTGAATTTCAACATTTCGAAGAATGTTTAAGTCAATGTTCATATTTAAAGTTTGGCATATTTCAGTGAAAATCTTCTCTAAGCTAATTTAGAATAAATTCTTAAAATCATCTCCAAATCTCCCTAAATCAGTTATCTATATATAGCTTGCTAATTTATTGCTCTAGTCATCTACAAATTAAAATAAGGTATTACTCTCGATATGCTCAGCAAATCCTTTGACTTGTTGGCTTAAGTTTTATGATTGGAGAATCTTGCCAAAAAATTTACTGATTGCATTAGAAGAAGACTGATTTATCATGCTGAATTTATTTCCCTTGTTTATTTTGTTATTACTTGACACTAAGCAAGAAATAAATGAAGCTCTTTTTTAGTTTTATGAAGTTGATATTTTTAATTCATTAACTTGAGATGTAACACTACCGATAAAGACTCTGTCAGTGTTAATACTTTGATATATGATGGTATTCTAATGATGGTCGTTGTAAATTGGATCATCTTTATTCTTATGTAAAAGAGTGAATTTATTTAATTACTCTTTATTAAACTGATAAAGAAGGATTTCAAGCTCTGTAACTACGACAACAAAATGCTAATTGTCACATTGAGATCTGATATTGCTAACACCTAAGATTGTTCCATATCTATTATGGTCTATGGTGATAGTTATTTAATTATCTCTAGCTCCACCATGATTTAATTACCAAAAAATGATATTATCCTTAACTATTATATATCCTAGGTTAAGTTAATGCAAAAATCCAGCATCATTGTATTCCTAATTTTAGTCTTGACCTAATGGTATTATTCTCCTATTATTTTCAGAGTATATGATATGCGGCTGAAGCTCGTAGAAACTTAATTTATTTAGTGATAGTCCCTGCTTGTTCAAAATCTTCTCTTTACCTCGGAAATCTTCATCAATCTAATGCCAAAGACGCTCAAGTCCTACTTTAATGTGGAACTTTAAATCTTCCTATTACTTTAAATACTTCTTAAGTGCAATTATGCTGTTCTCTTATTTATTATCATCGAGGTAGGCTTAGTCAAAGTTATCTGTAGATTTTGACCTCTATTAAGTCAGAATTTAAGAGGACTTCAATTGTTAAAGAACTGATTATTGATATTCTGTACTTTAATAGATATTCTCATTCTCATTAGCTGTTGCTTAAGTTTAATTATCATCATTAGATGAAGCAACAGATAAGACTTTGCATGCCTTAGTCCCGCAATTTAGGCTAAGAGATGGGCAGGAAATGTTTTTTAGAGATAGTAGCTTGTCGAAAGTTGTTGGTTAATAATTACTGGGTTATCTATGATCTTCAAAGTCAGATTTAATTGTAGGCCTCAATATTCTTCTGCTGTCCATGTCTCCACCTATAAACTCAAACTGATCTATCTACTAATAAGACCTTTTCTTCGATTAAGGAATATCCCTTTCAGCCATGATCTATTAAACTTGAGGATTAGCATGTTATAGATAGAAATCATTTCTTAGGTCAAAATCTTTTCTAAAACTTTTTGTGTTATCAATGGGTTGATCCCACTGTCTTTGCTTTTACTTCCCACAACAGTTTTAATTTTTACTCGGAGTTATTCCAATTAATCCTGTTACTTAGTTAATAAGGTTTCCAACCTTTTTGGCAGATTCCATAATAATTGATAAATAAATAATTTTAGTATCAATAACTAAATTTTAGTATATATGATAATCCTCTCTAACATACAAATATGCTATGCTTATGGGGTTTTGGGGTTTTGGGGGGGTCGTGATTATGAAGATAGCCTTGATGAG